TTTACTAGTTTGCTGCCACGAGTCTGATACCTCGGCGAACACTAGCTTGCTTGATGTTGCCAACGTGACTTCCATGAACTTGTATTCATGAAGCCAAAAAATAAATTAAAATTCAAATACACATAATAGTAAAATAAAAAAGTCCAAATCATTTCCCAAGATATTCATAAGAGATTAGATAAGATAAGATAAATTGTGCAAAGTACTTTTAATACTTAAAAAAAAAGTCTCCCTCTCGCCACTAGGCGGTAATGCAGCACCCCCAGACCCTCCACTTCCTGAAGGTTCTGACCTTCTGACCGAAGGTTGTTTACCTTTTTTTTTTTTTCCTATTTTGCTGGCTCCGTCATGTAATAAGTCTCCAAAATAATAAAAATATTCTATAATAACCTTTGAGTAGCGTAACGGTAGGCACTGCCACCAGGACAGTGGCACAGAAACTTGCAAGTGTGGTTCTCTGACCAGAGCCAGTAGTGGGAGATGACAGGCACACGCAGTTATTTCATAAACACTTACATAACCATCAAAGGCAGGGATCTTCAACGTCTTCCAGGCCAAGGACCCCCAAATTTATGACAAGATTGAGCGGGGACCCCCTAATTATACATATTATGAAATTGTGTTCTGTCAAACTGGTCCTATAGTCACTCTATTACAGATGAAGTAATGTAATGAAAGTAATTTCTCCCTGGGATTATTAAAGTATTTCTGATTCTGATTCCTGGTTGACGGGACAGTTGTTGTGAATGAAACGGTGCCCAACTTGAAAGAGCTCCTGTGTGTCGTATTGAGATTGGATCCCCGTTTTCTTTTTTTCAAAAGAAATTCCTATAATTTTTAAAACTGAATGCATCGGTTTTTTTTGTTCTAATTCAGATTTTATAGAAAATTTTTATTTTAAGTTAAATTAAGCCAAAAATATATAAAATTCCAAAATTATGGAATCCTGGCCCCCTGGTATATTTGGTCTAGAACTGCCACTAGCATTGATGACTGAAAGACATCTTCTGCCTCCATTTATCTGTTTACTACAGTGTGATGAATTCATGTTAATGTGTATTTAAAGACAGTTCAATTAGTGGAAAAATTGCAGGGTGAATATTAAAAAAAAGTCTAATAAACCAAAACTTTCGCAACGCCCATGCAGTACCTCTGGGGACCCCCTGTTGAAGACCTCTGATCAAAGGGACATAGAAGATGATATATTGAGGTAAAAATGTTATATGATGCTGCTTTATCCTCAAAGAGAGAATAGGTATTTTATGTCTGTTTAACAGGCTGCACTTAAAATCAATGTAAAAAAAATTNTGATGCTGCTTTATCCTCAAAGAGAGAATAGGTATTTTATGTCTGTTTAACAGGCTGCACTTAAAATCAATGTAAAAAAAATTCTGGTTAAGGTCTTAAAAGTATTGAGAGCAACCAATGTCCAGGCTTTAAGCCACATTAAAAAGGCTACAAGAATGTAAGGGAAGACTCAAGACGTTTGTCATATTCCATTTATCTCTGGCTTTGAATTCAAGCCACAAGATAATAGTCTATTAAGGAATAGGTATTACTTTGTGTCAGTGAAATAAAAATAGGACTGTTCATGTTCTTGCCTGTGGCTTCGGGCCCAGATGTTGTAGATCAAGCGGTTCCAACAGCTATGAAAATATTGAGCCTAGCAGCAGGTTACAAGAGCACAAAAAGGCTGACATGTAACAGGCAGTGTAAGTGTGCCTTTACAAACATCTGCTGTTTCCTTCTTTCTTGCCTGGGAGATATTTGCAGGTAAATGTGGGGTTCTCAAGTCTAGAAAATGAACCTAAACTTTAACATTTTATTATGAGAGTGTTGCATCGAGCTTAAATGAAGTCTCCAGCACAACTCATTAATGTTTTAAAAGCAACATTAGAGAACCACTAACCCTTAAAACCACTTCATGTTTGTGGTTGCTACTCTGCGGTTTAATTCCTGGGATACTGTACTTTCCAAACCCCTTTCTCTGCCTCTCCTCCAACTCAACCTGCCACAGATTGTGAAAAATGTTATCCATGTAGGAAGCACGCCCTACCCTCAAACATCAGATATTTTATGAAAAGAGATCAGTTGTCCAAAAAAAAAATGAATTGAAAAAGCTTTCTGGTGGGAACCTGGAAACAAAGTCCAGTGGATTGTTTTTAACTTTTTTGGAATGACTAAAATATCCAAGATATTGTGTGAAATTATTTAAATGTGCATACTTATATTCAGCTTTAAGAGTTGTCTTTCACTGAGCCATTTTAACTCATTGATATGTTTTGGGTAAAACGGTTTTGTGGAATCTAACATACTTTCTTCTACGATTGGCTGATATTCAGCTCCACCCATCTTCCTGATGCTCTGACCAGCTTCACCACAAAACAAAAGCATTCCCACAGACATGATGATGTTATTTTATCTTTGGAATGGTGAGCTTAGAGATTTATGTGATGTTCATCCCCACATGGGGTTTTATATGTAAGTCAAAAGGTTAAATTTTTCCCTCCAAATGGCACACTCAGACTCTACTATTTCCCTGACCTGTCTGCTCTGTTAATTGCTCTTTGCTCTGAACTTCATCCACTAATGTTTTTTTTTTTTTTTACAAATATCTAAGTCTTCAACAAATAACCGGGTTTATTAACATGTCTTAATGCATTAATGGTTGGGTCATCTTTTGAAGGCAGCATCTTTTGCTGAGGGTATCAATGTGAAAAGGGCTGACTACAGTGCAAAAGCACCATTTTTCTTTCACTTTCAAATTCTGGATCACTATTTGTTGCTCTATTATACAAATCCCATTAAACAACATTGAAGTTTGTGGTTAAAACATATGAAAATGTGAAAATATTTAGTGATATTTCAAAGGAATGTATCTGAACAAAAAACTTGTCCATGCAAGGACATCCAGAAAATCTGGGCCTTATTTGAAGCTAGATTCAGATCTGAGTGGAGGTCTGGACCACAGCTCATTAAAATTAAGATCCTTCCTCTTCAAACATTTTTTGACATCTCAGCCATTTGGGTGCCCTCTGACTGGAATGTGTGGTCTTTTTACAGAGCTCTCTGGTATGCACTGCTGCACTCTGCAAAACTATAGACGGGGCCATCACAAGAGATTCCTCTTTTACTGTGGTTGGGCAGTGAAACGAGGGAGGGGTGAGGGGATTTCAATAGTGTTCATGTTTCTCGGAACCTAACTGGTCTGGACTGCCAGAATGAGGCAGAAAGACAAGCTTGGTCAGATTTTACAAGCCTGTGAGGCTAAAGGGTGTGTAAAACACAATTACGTACCCTCTATTTTCCTGTAACGATTACTGTGTGACAAGGCTGGGATCCAAGAACTGTAATTATAAGATAATAATGTCTGGTCACTATTTGCATTAACATTTCTGTCTTTCTTGGTAATGGAATTAAGAGGTCATATGGATATTTTTGTAGGACTTTTTTTTAAGGTTTTCTTTAGCTCGTTTTGTTGCAGAAAGGATTTGATTTTATTTTAAGAAAAATGTTATTGGAGACCAAAAATTCTGACTTTCTACCCATGAGAGACTCTTAAGCTGAAAGACTGAGTTGGAGTGTTGTCTTTAACAGAAACCTTAGCTAAAATCTATTTCAGTCAATCTGCAAATCTTTCCCCCAGCCACCTGCCTCCTTTCTCCTGCCCCAGGTCCCATCTCTTCCCGTCCTCTATAACCCAGAGAGGAATCAGTGAAGCAGTCAGTTTTGTTCTGCTTAGGAGAGGCTTGAACCACAGGAAACATCCTGCAATGATCGGCAACGAAGAGTGCTATAACTGTACTTTAAAAGAGCTAATTTACTGTGATGGTCTTAGCTTAACACTCATTACTCTTGGACTAATTTTTTTAATTATTATTTTTGTTTTAATAATTATTTCACTCCTTCCTTCAAAAAAACAGAACAAACCCAATAGAACTTAGAACATCTGAAGAGCGCGCTTCTGTAACATATAGAAAAACACTTATTCAGGACATTTTGTAAAATGTGTTTTACAACCACCATTGCTATTAAGCATTTGAAATAGATTTTTTTTTCTGCATCTTTATCAGTCACTCGTATTATTTACAAACTGCTCACATTTCCTCTTTTCAGTGAATTATTTGGGTATTTATTTATTTATTTATGGCTCTCTTATATTCCTTTCACAGCACCTGAAGCAGGTTTTAGGGATTGCAGGAGGTGTACAGGTCTTGTTGTTGTAAATAAAGCCAAAATTATCCCTTCCCCAATGCTATGTTTGACAGTTGATATACTGTAGGCCTATATGGGTTGATATGCTTTTTGTTGTTGTTGTTGTTTTCTTCCAGCATAGCAATGAATATTACAGCCAAAAAGCTTCACATTGATCTCATCCATCTAAATAATTATTTTCTTCATGGTTGATTTAGAAGCAACTTTTCAAATTAATGTTGTGCTGTCATGTTGATTTTAGATAATGCTTTCTCTTGGCAAACCTTTGCAAGCATTAACAACATGTTCAGTCTTTTTCTGACTGTCCTGTCATAAACTTGTATATTTAACATTATAATCAAACAGAGCTTTGGTTAAAGCTCCCTCTTATTGCCTCATATAAAGAGAGAGGAACTATCTTCAGGGTCTTCATCTTGTAAGCTTTCTATCAGGTTGGGTGGAGGTTTGAAGAGGACCCAAATGCAGAAACGGAAGCTTAGGTGGCTTCTAGCAGATTTAATAACAAAAGGGGGCAACAGAAGCAAAGGCCTACAAACAAAATACTGAAGTCCAGGCAGGGAAAACTCATAAGAAGGACAAAGAAATGACAAGCAACCATCAAACACTGACTGAACAGGAGTCGTATATATGGGAGACAGAAACAAAGAATAGGCTTATCAGCAGATTGGAAGCAGTTATGGACAGAGGACTCTGAAAGGGAGCTAGGCGAAGGAGACTGACACAAAAGGACAAACAAGAAACTGAAATACACCCAGAAAACACCAGAAATGGGAATTGAAACAATAAAACTAGAAAACGCAGAAAAACATGATTCAAAGTGAAACAGAAAACTTGAAATGAAAATGTAAACAGAGCTAAAGTGCAAATTCATGACATTTTCACACTGAGGCATGTTGGAAAGGTCTTATAAACCTTTCCAGACTGGTAGGACACAATAAAAGCAGCTTCGATGTTTTTCCACATTTGGCGTGTTGTTGATTTAAACCTTTATTTACACAACTGCCAAACTGCTAAAACTCCTGCAAAGGTTTACTTTGAAAATGATCATTTATGACAAGTGATAGATTTGGTGCACAGGTTTTCATATTTTGATTGTAACTTTTTTTTTGGCTGAAACAGATTGACAAATAATGGTTGTATTTCATTTCATTTCAGCCCTTTTACCTTCACTGTGAGAAATTCAGCACCATTCAAAGCCACTGTAGGCTCTTCTCTCATGCCTTGTTGTAATAAAACACACCCAAATTTAACTCTTATGTTTTCACCCGCCCAGTCTTTGGGAGGAGCTCCAAGTCATTTTGTGGGAAACTGGCAGAGGAAAAGCAGATTTTGTGTTTTACAAAATTGGCCTGTTTTGCAGTCACACACAGTTTTAAAGCTGACGGATATAAGACTCGCTTCCAACAACAACAACCACACACTTTCTCAGGATCAACGCTGCCAAGTTTTGGTGCTGACAAGAAGCATGTGGGTTGGCTGCTGCCCTGTGCAGGTGCCAACCTGCATCCCACAGTGACCGATGTGGCTTCTCTTCACACAATTAAAACAATCCTAAATTTTCATAAAAAAGGGAAAAGGAGCACCATTACCTTTCATGATTTCTGTCTCAGGATGCCTCCCAGATAAAGCTGTTCCAGTGATGCTGATGTTCAGTCTGATGAAAATGATGATGCAGTCCCTTTTCACCGTTTTCCCAACAGATCAAAGGTGCTCATTGGCATTGCAACCACAACATAACATGCAAATCAAGCAAAAGTGTCCAAAAGTGCACTTGCACAATTTTTTAAATCAGTGCAAAAACAAAAAAGATGCATCCATCAATATCCAAACTGGATAAAACTATAATAAAAAATATATCTAATGAAATATTTGATCTCTAGATCGGAAAAATACAGTTAAATGGTTCTTCATTTCTTAAGGGAACAAGTAAAGGCTGCTCAAAATTCTGAACATGTGTGTTCAGTGCCTAAGAACACTAAACCACCTCAGAGTGAAATCATGAGTAACTTCTGAGGGGGAGGGAAGGAGAGAGAAATGTTGGAGGAAGGAGAAAGAGAATGAAGAGGAGTAGTTTAATAGAAACAAGGAGTGAAGAGAGAAAGAGAAATGTGGGAGGGGAACAAAGGAAGTAGAGATGAAGGGAGGGGGCAGAAAGGGGACAGGGAAGAATTGGAGGGGGAGGAAAGCAGGGAGGGTCCAAGTGTTTTGTTGAAAGTCAGGTTTGTGGCCGAGGCTAATTGCTAACAAATGTTGTGGGGTGAGCACCTTGAAAACACTCAGCCTTAGCCTCTGTGATGGAAAAAAAAGTGTTTCTGTTAACACACACACACACGCATACAGGGACACATGTGTCGAAGCTATTATCCCTCTATGTTTCCTCTTCTCAGGTTGCTCCCAGTAACCTCAGCTCCTTGTGTGTTGGAATAACGGCAGGTGTTATTCCTGCGCTGACACATTCTCACATCCGGCCAAGCGGCTGACGGAGCAGCTTCACTGTTCGTCTGGATACTCAAAACTCATTTGTTAGTTTTTTTTTTCTTCCTCTCCTGCACCTACTTTTCCTTTCACATTAATATGTCCATAAAAATGTAAAAAAAAATCTCTTTTTACATTTTTTTTAAACAGCACAAGAAAATAATTCATTTTTTGACAGCACCACTTAAAGTCCTCTTAGGATACATTATGGAAATAAAAAATAGAACATGTTTTAAGAGTTTTCAAATCCCTGCAGTGTTTTTGGCTGAATTCTTAACATGTATTAAGTTTACCTTAAAGCCATTTCTCTGCCATATGGGTACATCTGAGCTCCCTTCCTCTATTGATGTTGATGGTGAAGAATATTGGATGACAGAAAATGAAGATTAAACTGCCTGCATGGGATTGCTCCAGCTCAGAAGACTAGAGGCATTTTGTTGCAGATAGGGACTTTCATTCAAATGAGAACAACAACAAAAAAAACACATGTGTATCATATCCTTCTTTGCATAATAACTTTAGCTCAATTTTAAAATGATAATATGTAAGTAACAAACAGACCATTGAAATGTTTACAGTGTGAAGTAAAGTCCATAGCATATACCAATTAATTTTTCAGGCATATAAAATATGCCTGAAAAATGTATTGGGTCACTCTCATGTTATTGTCTGTTTTTGAAACCCATCCCATCCTGTAACATTCTAAAAATTGTATTAATAAATCTGCAATTACCTTTTGGCATCTAATGTTTTTCACCCTCAAAATAAATGGTTAATTTTAAATGCACAAATGCACATTTACAAAATACTGCTAGTGTGATTAAAGATTATCTCATTTGAAAGCATTTTACACATTTTTGGATAATTAAAACGAGGTGGTGGTCTGTTTATCTGATGTTCCGATAGCTGATCAATATATATGTTTTTTTTCATACAATTTATGAGCTTTTCAATCAACTAAAGTAAAGGTTTCTAAACGTTTCTTATCTTATGCACACAGCAGTTCCAGAATGGACTCATGACCCAAACTATTGGTTTAGTATACAAACATTTCTGCAAAAATCAGCTAAACATTTTTGATAATACAAACAGTATCATTAGCCAACATATTCAGTTTTTATATTTTTCAACACTAAAGATTTTATATGCTTCATCATCATCGTTTGTTTTGTTTGGTTGTTGATGCTCATTGATAATGGGCATCAAACTAGATGTTAAATATCTTGAAGGCCTGTGGACTAAAGCTACACCACACAATACCAGTGGACTCTGTCCTGCAGCCTAAATGTACTGCACACAACTCATTAGGGTCAGCATGTAAAATACTTCTACAAGGCTACAATTAAATGTAATCAGAATAATTTACGCTATGACCTTTTTTTTTTTTTTTGCTTGATTATTGAAAGCAAAAAACAAAAAAACCCAAAAAAGAATTATAACCATTTCAAGTAAGGTTTTAGGGAGTTTAATGACCAACATTTCTCCATCTGGGTTTAATTAAAAAGCCTCCAGCTTTTGATTACGATTTGAAGCTGCCAAACCTGCTTTGTTTGTAGACGTTCCAACTAATAGAGCTGCATTCCCAAAGTGACACAAATTTCATTCAACTTGATTCCAGAATCCTTTTAAATGATTGAATCTGTGAGCCACAGTGCACAGACTACCGGTGGAAACAATTTAGAGCTATGACAAGATTGTGTGTTATAAGCAAAAGAAATAAAGCAAGCTCTTGCTTTGGCTTTTTGCTTTGTAACAGTGATAATAGAATGTAAGATATTTGCAAACCCCGTATATTAGCTGATTTAATAACTTCTCTATTATTTAAGCTAATTACAAGCCAATACACTTCCACAAATGCATAAATGAATTAAACTCATGAACAGACTTTTGACTGGGATTAGAAGAAAGGCTTCAAGCTGGATTATAAAGTCAGTCATCGTGCTGTTTGTAATCCTTCGAGTTTGGTTGGAAAAAAATAAAAAATAAAAGAAATGTAGTGAGGCTGTAAATAACAGAAACCATAAGATCACTGAAGACGTTTCATCCTTTGATGCCTGCTAACAACCGTTCCCTCTTCTCTCCTGCAGTAAGAGCCATCTTGATTTAATAAAAGTTCAGCTGGCCGTTATTGGAAGTGAACACAATTCCAGAAATAGATGCTGGAAAATAAAAATCAGCCCTCATCATTGCGGGTTATGTAATTTTTTTTTTTAATGCTTTTAATTATTCTATTTTGTTTGGGGCTTGCTATATTCAGTTTGTTTACCTTTTGCCAGGTGCTATCTAGTGTTTTTAGCTTCTTTTATCCTTACTTTCTGTTGACATTATTTTAGTATTTTTCGATTATTTTTCCTGATTTCTTCCTTATATTTGCCTCATTTTATAATTTCTCCAACACTCAGAGCCTTCTGTTAAATATTGGTTCTATGCACATATGTTTCCTCAATTGCTTTGGTTTTCGCACGCATTTTGTTCCCTTATTTAAGTGTCACGATCACAACAGGAGGACCCAGAATTTGAGGCAGACAGATAGTTTGATGTCTTAAAAAGTTTATTAGCAACAACTCTGCAGTGAACAGCTTGGAAGTCCAAGGAAGGAACCTCTGCAGGAAGAGAACACAGGTTAGTGACCATGTCTATCTTGCAGAATATGATAACAAACGTATGAGTCACTAACGTGGTCTTAAAGTTCAGTTCATGCCCAGAGGATGAGGTTGCTTCCAGCCAGTCAGCTGCAAACAAGACGCAGCTGGAATCGCCCAGTGAGTTCCAGAAGCTGAAATCCCAGAGGTCAGAGAACAAGCAGGAGACCAGAACCGAGCAGCCGAAGCAAGGCAGGATAATCCAGAGGGTAAAGCCAAAACCGATGTTGAGGATGTGCTCAGGAGTCAGGACCAAGAAATCAGCGATCCAAAGAGGTTCCGAAGGGAAATCCAGGACGATGTCAGGAATCAGTTCCAGGTTCGGTACACAGGCAGGAATCCAGCAGGAGTCAAAAAACAGGTCAGACAAACAGATCAGAACAGAGACAGGCCGGCTCAGAGATCCAAAGGCAGAACGGGCCAGAATCAGGCAATCAGAAACACTCAGGAATGTTTGAAAACCTCTCCCCAAAGGCTCAAATAATCTGGCTCTGATAGCTGGTCTGAATGCTGGTTAAATAGAGGCTGAAGCAGGTGGATCAGATGAGCATTCCAAGATGTCCTCTCTTGTGAATATTATTTTATTGAGATATAAAAATAGGATGGGTATGAAAAAAACTTTCACAAACTGTTTTATTTGCTTGTTTTTTTTTAATTCAATTTCAATTTAATTTTCAATTCAGTTTATTTACATAGCATAACACATGTCATCTCAAGGCATTTTACAGTTCAACCAGATCATACAGTCAAATTAATTCAAGTTCAGGTTTTCTATCTAAGGAAAATGAGTTGATTGCATTGACTCATTGACTCAAATGCAATCCCTTCCACTAAGCATGCTTGTAGCGACAGTGGAGAGGAAAAACTCCCTTTTAACAGGAAGAAACCTCCAGCAGAACCAGGCTCAGTGTGAGCGGCCATCTGCCGAGGCCGACTGGGGTTCAAGGAGACAGAAGCAGAGACACAAAAAGCAACTGTAAAAGGCAGCCCTGTCATGCTTATGCTTATGTTTACATGTCAAACTTAAGCATAACTGATCCATTTTTTTTGTTTTTCATTTGATCTCACTAAATAACATTTAACTTTTACAAACTTGAATATTCTGACAGAAAGATCACATAAGTCACAAGTCTGTATGAGCAGCAAAAGCAGGGAGGCAGAACTGACTAGTTTAAAATGGCAGGTCTTCTAATTAAATTATTATTGGCATAGCCAGATTAAATACTTTAAAAACATGTAGCACCAGTTAGAAACTTTATGGACTGTATGAGGGATTGCTGCAAAGTCAAAAACACAATACTGACATCTGTTCAGTGTTATCACCAGCTAATTCTGGAGGAGAAATTTTGAGAGTCAATGACTTGATACAATCTGCTGGGTTTTCTTAGATAGAAATCTTTTAACCATTCTGTGTGATTTGATGAATTGGTTCTGTTCAAGTTTTAGCTCTGAGTTTTCATTGGTCTTATTTACATTTTTGTGCTCTAGCTATTTTTGATTGTATTTGAGTTCTAGATATTTCCTGTTTGCCCTCTTGTGTCAGTCTCCTTCTCCTACCTCCCTTCTTGCCTCTGTTCACACCTGCTCCCAATCTGCTAATTAGCCTGGTCTTTGTTTCTCTCTCTGATATATTCTCCTCCTGTTCAGTCACTCTTGGCTGGTTTGTCATAATTTCTTTGCCCCCTTCTTCTGAGTATTCCTGGTATTCAGGTTTTGTGGATTTATGTTTTGCATTTTTGCTTCTGTTGAAGTTTTTGGTTAATTAAATCTTCAAGAAACCACTTGAGTTTTTGTGTTTGCATTTGGGTCCTGTCAAACCTCCACCCCACATGACAATTGAACTGGTAAAGTAGATGGCATAGCATTTTCTAACAATTTGTAAAATTTTGATAAACTGTTTTGCGAAGAAGATTGTTTTTATCATCAAGGTCAGTTA